AGAGAGAGAGAGAGAGAGAGAGAGAGAGAGAGAGAGAGAGAGAGAGAACACACATATATACTAATATGATCTTGTTGTCATCTATGTTTTTGTAGGAATGTTTGGGATTCTTTCCAGACCAGAAGATGCCAATGATTTTTTTACAAATGGCACAAGGATGATAAATTTGGTCATAGCTTTCCATGCTAGAAAGTAGCAATACTGTATTTTTTCCAAAAAGCAACAGGACTTTCTTGGGTTTTTTTTTTCTTTGAAAGCATTTGATTTCTTCAGAACTGAAGCAGCTTTTTGGATGAGAAGCGAAATGTTTTCAAGGGGAAAAAAAAGTCCAGTTACATTTTGGAAAATCTTCTTTAGGACAACCATGATCTGAATAACTGAAAATCTCCATAGACATTTAGCGATACTGTAAGTTAGCATTAACTGGACACTTTTTCCCCCCCAAACATAAACGCTTCCTCCTGAAATTATATCCTGCACTTATAATAGTGCTAATTCATCAGCAAATTGAAAATACATCATCCCGACCAGCGCAAGGGAAAGGGGGGGGGGTGTAATCTGGACCACTGGTTGAAATGGAAAAGATCAAGAAACAGTCATCAAACAATAAAAGTGGATGGCAGATTGGGTGGTTTTCTAATTGATCAGAAGGATTTTAGATTCTCAGTTATTTAAAAATTATTAGAGGCTACCAAAAATTAGGAATACATTTATAAGAATATTGATTAAATTAAATTAGTCTAGAAGCTAAACCATATGATGAACTGCTGAGGGAACTAGATTTAAAAAAGAGAAGGACTAGAGGTGACATAATACCCAATCTAATCTTCCAATATTTGAAGGGCTGTCACACGGAAGAGGGATCAATTTATTCTCCAAAGAGCATGAGGGAAGGACAAGAAGCAACAGATGGAAACTTATCAAGGAATGATCCCATCTGGAACTAAGGAAAAAAAATTCCTTACAGCTAGAACTATTAATCGGTCGAATGCCTCCAGAAGTTGTGGTTATTCTGTCACGGGAGGTTTTCAAGAAGAGATTGGACAGCCCTTTATCAGGAATAGTATAAAGTCTCCTGCTTAAGCAGGGGTTTGGATTGGAAGTTCTCCAAGGTTCCTTCCAGCCAATGAAATATATGCTCTATGTTCTAAATAGCATCTAATCACTCTGTTTGCAATATATTTTAAGAAGGGGATGGTTAGGCATGTCATGCAAGCCTAGCCAATGGTATTTTAGTATTTTTAGTATTTATTTGATTTGTCAATCGCTTACAAGATACAGGTATAAGAATAAATATAGTTTTGAATACATGAGATAGATACTTATAAGAAAAATAAAAGAAACAATAGGACAGGGACAGTAGGCACGATTGGTGCGCTTATGCGCACCCCCTACAGGCCTCTTAGGAAGGGGGTGAGGTCAATAGTGGACAGGTTAAAGTTTTGGGGATTTGGGGAAGAAACCACAGAGTCAGGTAGAGTATTCCAAACATTGACCACTCTGTTGCTGAAGTTGTATTTTCTGCAGTCAAGTTTGGTGTGGTTAACCTTGAGTTTGTATCTATTGTGTGCTCTTGTATTGTTATGATTAAAGCTGAAGTATTCATTTGCAGGTAGGACATTGCAATGTATGATTTTATATACTATATTTAGAAGGTAGTTTCAATGTGTTTGTCTTCAATGGTTTATTGCTATGGTACAACTATGATAATCTGGAAGCAAAATCCAACTTACTAATGTTAGGATGTCCACACACTTTCTGGAGGATGTTGATTTCTTTCAGAGTGGATTCTCTCAGCTCCTGAACTTCTTGTGGGGAGAGGTTTCCACCTGTGATGTCTATAATTTTAACAGCGTACTCTTGTCGAGTGACTTTATGAATGCATCGACGGACAACACTGCTTACTCCTCTGAAAAGACAGTCCACATGAAAGAAATCTTAGAGAGAGGGAGCGAGGATTAGAGAGAGGGATAGAATCAAGCTCGCACACACAGATCTCTAAAAGGTGGTGTTACTTTGTTGTTCACTCATGTTCAAAGTGACAAGAGGAGAAGCAAGGATAAAGAGGTTTATTAAAATTGGTAGTTATTGGAAATACTACTGCATTACAAATGCTTGTAGGCATTGTCTTCATAAAATAGCAAAATATCTTAACAGAAATGTGAATGGTATTTTCTGTTCAGTGGTAGCCACACTTCTCTGAAAGTCTCTTCTGAGGAAAAATGATACCCAGCTCCATGTTTATGAAAGGTTTAAAATACAGTATTTTTCTTCAATATTTACTTAAATGCTTTGACTATACCTACCCTCCTTTTTCAGGAGTTGAAGTTTCCCAATTAATTATTTTCAATTATCTGTTCTTGTAACTAAATTATTTGAAATACATGTATATTAAAATTAACTTGCTATGTTCTGAGTTGATTTTGTTGAAATTGGAAATGTTGGTTAAAGGAACTAATGCATTTTTTGGGTTTTGTTTTGAGGGTCACATAGCAAATTGCCCATTATAATAGCCCCAACTTTAAAATATTTACCTTCCCAAAATTTCCTTAGGTTCATATTTTTCATAAAATTCTTCAGAAGTATGGCTATCTGGCAGTTCTTCTGTTTTGGTCATTTTGGTTGTCTTGTTTAGGAGCCTTCCAAAAGATTATTCTAAGATAACAAAAGGCTGCAACAACAGAAACAGACAAAAATCCCAGGCAATTTTTCTCAAAATTATAGTTACAGCAAGGAATTTCATATTATGTTGCCCATGATAAATATTCTATAAAAGTTCCTTTGTGCAGTTCTACAACAGTGTTTTTCAATCTCAGGAACTTTAAAATGTATGGACTTCAACTCCCAGAATTATCCAGCTACCATTCAGTTCTGGGAATTGAAGTCCATACATTTTAAAGTTGCTAAGGTTGAAAAATACTGTTCTATATTGATATGCAAAATTATGGAAATGTCTGTGTCACAAAGTTTTTAGACCTAAAACCTATTTTGAATATATGTTAACTGAACCCATTTGTCAGAATTTAGAGGCAAGATGGTAATTCCAAAAATTCAGTCCCATCTGAACTAGTTAAGGGCAGAGTATCAGTAGATAAATGGATTTATTGCAGAGAAAAAGAATACTACTTATTTAGAAGATCTGCTTATTACAGAACACAGAAATCAAGTTTCTTTCTCTTCCTTGGCTCCAGAATTTAAGTGGTTTCTTTTCTCCTTTTCAAGTCTTTGGACTCTGACTAATTCCTGTTTTGCCAGCTTCTTTGTGCCATGTGAATCCATAAAATTGGGTTAACTGAATAAATCATGATTCACTTAATCTTGGTCAAAATAATCACAGTCAAAAACATTTGATGAAAACAGCAATTGGTGGATTCAGACATTCCATTTAGCTAAACTAGTTTGCTATTTTTTTTAGTGAATGTAATGGCAGAATCTAGGCACTGTGGCTTAGCAAGATTTATGTACTGCTGTAATTTGATTAATAAACCATGACTCATAAACTTCAGGCTTAGGCATGTGTATATACACTAAAATGACTAATTCAGCCTTAATAAAAATTTGTTCATATTCTGTTGTCCTGTCCTATTTGAGCCTTCCCTCTCTTGCATCTAATCATGGTACCAACTTACTTTCATTTTCTACACCATCCTCATAATGTTGTCTTCATCTCCTCTCCAACAAATACCTCTATCTGTCAGCCATTGTTCACAGGTTTAGCACTATTCATTCTTTTGAATGCACCTGCTCCAAAACACTTTTGCAAAATTAAAATGCATGTTTAATTTGGCCATGGGAAAGAGCCCTTTCTATTTTCCTGACTGGCTTCCATGATCATCTCAACGTTTATACTGCAAAACTACCCAAGATATTAATCCTTCTTCTGTCAGCTGGTGTTGTGTTTGCTCTTCAGAATTAGTTTCCTCCCCCTGATATGATGGCCCCAGTTCTATTAGTCTTTCATATAATGGAAACACCTGGCATTTTTCTCCTCAAATGATGGTAATGGAATCCATCTACTGATTATGAATATAGATATTATTGTAGTTCTTTTCTCTTGTGTTATGTGGGGGTTTTTTGTTCAATTGTTCACGTACACAGACTGAAGTCACAAACTTACAGTTTTCTTAAATAAATGTATTTATACTGCTTTATAAATAAGATCTTTTAAAAAAATGATGACAGATCAACATTTGTCTAAATTTGTTAGACATTGTCTAACAAATGTCTAAACTGAAACACACCACAAATAATAAAGATTCTATGTAGGAAATGTTGACCTGCCATAATCTTTCTTCATGGTCATAGAAGGAAAGCCAAGATAGATGGTCTAAGAATAAGGCTGAATCTGAATGTTCTATTGAACTGAAAGCAATTTCCTTATATATATATATATATAGTGTGTGTGTGTGTGTGTGTGTGTGTGTGTGTGTGTGTGTGGTATTCGGCTTTGTTCGGGTATTTTCCCACGTCATTATAGTTGTGCTTTTAAAGCTGTAGCAACGTTTCGGCAGAAGCACAACTATAATGACGTGGGAAAATACCCGAACAAAGCTGAATACCATACATGTAAGTACCCGCGAAAACTTAAGAAAACACACACACACACACACACACACATATATATCTGTGGGAAGCTGCTTTTACACATGGATCCCCTTGAAATCATAACATACATTAGTTATTACTTAAGACAGATAGTTTTAAATAAAGGACAAATGTAATCTGGATCTGAACAGTACTGTAATTCAGTTCATAAGTAGTATAGTATTAATTAGTTTGAGGTATACTCCAAATATTTTCCTCTTTCTGATTGCTAACTGTAGGAAAGTGATTCACTTTTAAAAGCAATAATTGGCGATTTGAAGACATTTTAAAATGAAGTTTCCCAGGAAAGCAGACTATAAGATCAAAATGTTTGTCTTGCACTCTAAAAGTCTTAAAGATACATTCTGATAGCCTGGGAATGAAAAATACTATCCTTTTCAACAGGTTCTTTCCTTATCTTTAATATAGTGCTAAACCCAAACTCAGCCTTAGCCTTATTTCTCTGTACATATCTCCAAATCAACTAATATCCTTTCAGAGTTGCATAATTATTTCACTAAAGACGATCAATTATTTGATACAAGACATAATTACTTACCCTAACTGAAATTTGCACAATCGGTATCTTCTAACCAAGAGTAAACCTGCAGATCTATTCCCAAAGCCCACTTTGAGAAAGAATTCCCTGTTTTATTTGATGGCCAGCAATTGAACCACATAGCAGCGTCTCGCGTTCTCTTTGAATTTGTTGTGGATCACTCACACTCTGGCGACTGCATTGCCAAAAATAAAAATCGCAGTGCAACTCGAGAATTGTTCCAAGTCCTCTAGTTTGCACGCTCAACTCCCTCTCTGCTTAGATTGGAGTGACCCTCTTTGAGGTGAAGGAATTCTTCAACAACCAACAGCACTCCGATGAATGAAAGGACAAACAGGGATTCCTTCACCAAGGAAACAAGAATCAGGAACATAATCTGGAATGCATGAATAATGTGATTCCACCAAGGCAGGACATGTGAAGCGCAACAGGATTGATTTTTCCTTTGTAACAGGGAACATTTGGGGGTGGCTGAGAATGCAGTTGGCCCTAAGTGGCATATTTAAATTCTTAAAATGGTAACCAGAATAGTTCTCATTAATCTGCCTTTTTTTAAAGAGTGTGAACAGTGATAACCTACTCTGGATAAATTCTGTTGTCTTTCAGTTTGTCTCATGATTCAAAACAATACCTTTGACGCAAGAGACCACATGTTCCACCTATTTTTATGTAATGAAGCAACCACCTCTTCATTAATTCACTTCTATAATACCTTGTATCTTAATGGGCACATTTGGGAGCAGCTGAGAATGCAGCTGGCCCTTAATGGCATATTTAAATTCTTAATCAAAAGTTATCATGGATATTTTAAATTGTATCCAATTTGGTGGGCTCAAAACACAAAAAAGCCCACTGCATAGATCCCTAAATAACACATACAAGAACTCACATATTCCCCTACCATTACCCACTGTTCACTCTTCTCTACTCTTCCCCCACCGCTGCTACTACTATTCCTACTCCTACTCCCTGTAAGTATTGTTAGAGAAAAGCATACTTTTCTAGTTGCTTTCTGCTGCTTTACTTCCACATACAGGAGCATCTCCTTCCCTTCCCTACATACTAACCTCTTTCATAGCAAAGCTTTTATAGGCAACTTTGTGGTCTTGATGCTGGGGAGAGGGCACAAACATCAAAACTTTTTTTTTTCATTCAAATTTGCTAGAATTATTTCAGTATTTTTTTTTTCAAACATGGCAACTTTATTCTGAAAGTTGAAGTCCACACATCTTAAAGCTGCTGAAATTGAGAGGCACTGCATTAAACAAGACACTGAGCCATGGATTAGTTATTTAGTCTAGTGTCCCCAACCACCAGGCCCCGGACCGGTATCGGTCCGTGGATCATTTTGTACCGGGCCGCCTATTTTGCTTGGGCGCCGCCATCTTGTTTCGACGGCGCTTGAGAAAGTGCTTCCGGGTGAGCTTGTCAGTCGTCGGTTGGAAAACGGTGTTTGGGTGCTGAAGGAATCCTCGCGCCTTAGTTTCTTCGAAGGGTGGGGGGGCGGCTTCGAATGAAGAGCCGTCCCGATGGTGGTGGAGTCTCGCATTAATCTTCAGGAGAAGATTAAGAAAGAGCCCGAAAAGCCCATCGACCGTGAGAAGGTACAAAGGAGGAGTTGAAGGTGGCGGGGAGAAGTGTGGGACGACTGGCTGGCCGGTCGCTCGGCCCGCCTTGCCTTGGTCATGCGTGCTGATGCTGGTACCAGTCCATGGATCATTTTGTACACTTTGTACCAGGCCGTGGTACAAAAAAGGTTGGGGGCCACTGATTTAGCCAAAGCATCTGGGTTATATAATGACAAACTAGCCAAGCTAGCCACACTTGAACTGAATGCGGTGTGTAAAACCAGTCCAACATTTCTCCAGTGCTGCTATTGATTGCAGATTGTCTGCAAATCTACAAATTTAATCCTGAAGAAAATCTATGTGATTGCTAAGAGTCAACATTGACTTGATGGCTCATAATTAATTAAATAAAAATTGCAATTGGGTGATAATTTTTGGAAAGCTGTTGTGGAGTGGGGTGTCTGCTGAAGGTTTTCAGAGCTGTATGGCTTCACTATTTTCTTCTCTGGGTATCAGCTAGCTTTCCTGGCTGTGCCCATAGTCATTTATGTAGATGGCATCAGATCTGAGAAATTCAGGATGCTATATCTAACGGTGCTTAGTGAAATTTTAGAAATCAGGGGGCCTGCTAAATATCATCTGCAGTAATGACTGCCTTTAATATTTTAAACATTCTGTTCCCCAGATGACTTATGAAGAGCAGACTAAAATATGGAAGGCTTATTTTGAAAATTGAATAAAGTTTATTTAAAAATAAAATAAAATATAGAAGGCTTAAAAGGGCAATATGATGCAAATTTAGACAAAGCAGGGGTGGGATTCTATTGGTTTGGACTGGTTCTATAGAACCAGTTGTTATGGTTCTATGCAGTTCAGAGAACTGGCAAATCATGCCCGTGGCTGGCCCCGCCTCTCTCTGCCCCTCCCCCCCTAGTAAGTCTTTATCATGCATGCGCAACATTGCGCACATGCCAAACATCACAGACTGCATTCTCCCCCGCCCAGTCACTGCTTAAGGTATTTCTTTTTTTTTCTCCTCCTGACAATCAGCTGTTCCGATGATCAGCTGTGCCCGGATCCCCCCTCTCCATCTTACTGCTTCGCCCAGGTTTCCTTGAGGCCCAGGAGGCAAAAAGGTGTGCATGGGATGTGTGCTGCGCAGCCCCCTCCACCGCCCCCCGGTGCTGTTTTTTGCCTTCCTGGGCTTCAGGGAAGCCTTCTGGGAGCAAAAATGCCTCCCAGGCTTTCCTGAGGCCCAGGAGGCAAAAAAAAATATGGAGTGTGACGGGGGAGGTTGCTGCAAAAAAAGCCACGCCCACCCAGTCACATGAACCGATTGTTAAAAATTTGAATCTCACCCCTGAGACAAACCATGTACATTTGATAAAGGTAATCCTCAAGTTTGTTTAGTGACTGTTCAAAGTTAAGGCAGCACTGAAAAAGGTGATTTATGCAGTTTTCCATACTAATGACAGTTGTGGCATCCCCATGGTCATGTGATCAAAATTCAGATGCTTGGCTCATATTTATGCAGTGCAGTGTCCCGAGTCATGTGATCACCTTTTCAACCTTCTGTCAAGCAAAGTCAATGGGGAAGCCAGATTCAGTTAACAACTATATTACTAACTTAACAAGCATAGTGATTCATGTAACAACTGTGGCAAGAAACATCATAAAATGAGGCAAAATTCACTTATGTCTCAGCAACAGAAATTTTGGGCTCCACTGAGGTTGTAAGTCAAGGACAAGGACCTGTATACATAATTCATAAAATTTAGATTTGTTCTTCATATCATTCAGTAAAGGTCAGATTGGCAAACAGGAATATTATTTACAATTCCAAGGAAAATTTAGAGTGTAAAGATAATCCAACATTCTATCTCCCCCATATTTTCTGTTAGATCACTGCTTCATAAAAGTAAATCTGAGTATTGTAATGCAATAATTATGATCTGAGCTATGTACAAAAATTTAAATTCCTGACCACTGTAAAGTTTATTGATGGTCCACATTTAAATAGAGTATTTTGACTATATACATCTGTCTATTGTTTATGAATCATAAGTCTCTAACATGTTATTTCTGTATGCTCTGGCTTACAAATTAGATATATGCATTTACATAATAAATCATCTTTTTTTTTTAAGTGTTTCTCATTTTTCAAACTTGGCAACTTTACAAGATATAGACTTCAGCTCTCAGAATTCCCCCAACTAGTTGGGAATTAAAGTCTATACATCTTAAAATTGCCAAGTTTGAAAAACATTGGTTTACCCAATTCTAAAATTAAAACGTAAGAATTATCAGTATATTTCATCATATTTCTGAAGCTGAAGTTTTCTCAAATTATATTTAGTTTAGAAGGCATTAATAGAAGTGAATTAATGAAGAGGTGGTTGCTTCATTACATAAAAATAGGTGTCTCATGTCAAAGGTATTTTTTTTGAAGCACTGGCATTTAATGAGACATACTGAAAGGCAGTAGAATTTATCCACGATTGGTTATCACTGTTCACTCTTTTAACAAAAGGCAAAGTAATGAGACCTCTTCTGGTCACCATTTTAGTTCCCAGAATGCTTCTAATTCCCAATTTACCTTTTTTTTTTCTGGATTAAGAGGCAGTTTATCAATAAAGTATTGTTCCCCGCAGGCATATCACTGGGATTTATATGTAATCCAAAATGATGAACAGAAATACCGTATATGTATTTTATTTAATGCTTTTGAGGGTCCATTATAGCTATTTGTTATGGAATATAACATTAGGATTCTGGCTAATCTTTTTTGACAGTCAAGTAAATTCAGTTTTTAAAAAAAGACACCCTAATTCATCTTGATGCTGTTGCCTATTATTTTACGTAAGATTGCTCTTTGTATTAGTATCCCAAAATCAATTATTTATTGCCAGGCAATTTTCAGATGTAGCCTTCAGTTCCCAGAATTTCCCAGGAGTTTGGGAAGTTGAAAGGGAGAATGCGTCCCGTGCAAGTGTAACCTTTATACAAATTCAGGTACTGTATGACTGGGTCTCTGTGTACTGAATTCATGGAGTGAGACTTGGGAAATCACTTAAAATGCGCTTGTTGCTTTTTCCGGATAGCAACTGAATCTATGTATTGCTTCAACCATGGAACTTTCCTGAAATATTTTGTTTGCTCAAGGTAAGAAATGTGGGGATCAGTGCTGAATTTTATGACACCTTGTTGATCTCTGTGGAAATGTTATAGAAATATTAAGAAGTATTTTGCTGTTGAGTCTGTTAGCAGATGATCCCTCCCCAAGGGGGAAAAACATCTCTTCTTGATACTTGACATTAAAGTGGCTATGGTGCCTGGGTTGACTTCTCTCTTCAACCCCCACGCCCCCTTTTAGTTTTTCCACTTTTGGATCTGGATAGTAGCACTTCCTCAGATAGACCTGTTGTGGTTTTTCCTGTTCTTAAGCTGCTTTAACCCTTATTACAGAGGTGATATTCAGCAGGTTCTGACCAGTTCTGGAGAACTGGTAGCAGAAATTTTGACTAGTTTGGAGAATTGGCAAATCCCACCTCTGACTGGCCCCGTCCCCATCTATTCTCTGCCCCCTGAGTCCCAGCTGAT